CTGGAGGTTGCACCCCTTGCCGACGCAGACGCAGACGCAGTCGCACTCGCCGCCGCTTCTCCACGCCCATTATTGCGACCACAACCTCCAGTACGTCCACCATGGCTTGGATTAGTATATTGCATTTGCTGCGTAACAAACTCATTAGTGGAAAATTGCCCTTCTTCTACATTGTGTTGGGCATCAACGGGAATACCACTATAACCAAAAGGATCCATTATAAAAAAATAAGATGAATTTGATAGAGAGAGAGCTTTAGAAAAATTGTGAGAGAGATTGAGAGAGATTGAGAGAAATTGAGAGAGATTGAGAGGGATTGAGAGAGTTTGAGTGAGAAAAATGTGTGAGGGATGGGGGGTATTTATAGGGAAATTTTGGGGTTAAAAAATGATTTTTTTTCAAAAAAACGGGATAAAACGGCTAGTTTTTTGAAATTCGGGTTTCGGGCAGTCGGGCAAACTCGGGCAGCTTGGGTTTTCGGGTAAAATTCGGGTAAAATTCAAAAAACTAGCCGTTTTCGGGCAATTCGGGATGTTCGGGCAACTCGGGTTTTCGGGTAGAATTCGGGTAAAAATTCAAAAAACTAGCCGTTTTCGGGCAACTCGGGCAAGTCGGGTTTTCGGGCAAAATTCAAAAAACTAGCCGTTTTTGGGTATTCGGGCAGGTCGGGCAATTCGGACAGGCGGGAAAAATTCGGGCAAAATTCAAAAAATCGGGCGTCGGGTCGGGTAATTCGGGCACACTCAATTTTTGGGTCGGGCAGTTCGGGCTTGGTCGGAAAAGTTCAAAAAAATCCCGGCAGACGGCGGTATACGGTGGTTAGACGGCGGCGGGCAAGAGTGGACATGTCAAATTCGGACTGCCCGAGCCCGAACCCGAATTTATTGCTTGGGCGGGCGGAAATTGGGCCGGCCCGCCTGAGCCCGAAAAAATTCGTGCTTCGGGCGGCCCGCCGACCCGAAGTTCCAGCACTAATCTACTTAATAAAAAGCGGCAATGCGCTTTCATTGCCAAGCTGCCACGTAGGGAACGTTTCGTTCCTGTTTCTCTCCTTTTTTTTTTGGCTTTTTCTGTTTTTAACCATTTGCCCTCAATTATTTTTTATTTACACGTTTGTCCCCTATTATTGTTTCTTCTCATTTTTTGTCTTCTTTCGGATATATATTCAAATCTACTTCGTTAAATTATTTTACTCTTCTCTAATTCCTCGATTATATTTTTGCGTTTACTGCAAATGTCTTTACTCAAGTAGTTTTCTTACTCCTCTATAAATTTTAGGTTACACGTGTTTGATTAATTTTTTGTTTTTTTTTTCTCTACTGAAATATTTTTTTTCTCCAATACACCCTCAAGTAAACATTGTTCTCCTTCTCATATGTATACTTAAATTATTTTTTATTTAATTTTTTTTAAATATGTTTTATATTTTGAAAAAAAATCGCTATTGAAATAATTATGCTTAACTATGCACTTATGTAAACATCATTTTCTTTTATATGTATACCCTAATTAGTTTTCTATTAAATTGGTCGTGCTCAAAATATTTCTTTTAGATAATGCATTTCAAAATTAAACATGATTAATTGTGTTAAATTGTGAGTTATTAATGTGCCTAATTTAATTTTTCTAATTAATTAAAAAACTTTAAATTATTTTCAGTATTTATGATTTCACCCTAATTTTTTTTTAAAAATACACTTAATTTTTAATGTATTTTATTTTATTTTTCCCTATTTCTTTTATTGTTCTTTTCCTTTTTTATTTTTCCTTTTCTTTTCTTTTTTTCCTTTTTCTTTTTCGTTTTCTTTTCATTCTTTTCTTTTTCTTTTTCCCTTCCTTTCCTTCCCGGTGCTGCCCAGACCACCCCTTCTCTCTCTTTCTTTTCTTTTTTCTTCTCCCTCTCTCTCTTTTTCTCTCACCGGCGCCACTCACTCTCTCTCTCTCTCGCCGGCGTCCTCCTCCCGACGCGCGCTCTCTCGCTCTCTCTCTCTCTCTCTCTCTCTCTCTCTCTCTCTCTCTCTCTCTCTCTCTGTGGATGGTTCTGCCGAAACAACAAGTAAAAAAAAATAGAGAAAAAGGTTGAAACAGAGGGAGCAAGGTTCTATCAACTAATTTGAGATAAAACCCCTTAAACCCCACTTTTTGATTTGAATTTCAAACTCGAGAAAGTGTGATTTTGGTTAGATTTGATGAATTTTGGTTAGGGTTTAGATTTGAACAAATTGGGGTTGAACTTGGATTAAATTTGGGGATTTTCAGTAATTGCACTTATTAAAGTGTTTGGAAACTGATTTTAATAATTACATGAGGATTTGTTTTAGAACGGAACTCAAACTGCAGATTTTGATATTTTCATTCCTATTGTCGGAATGTTGCCGAAATTCTTTAGAAAACTTGTTTTTGAGCTAAATTTCAATTTGAAACCACATTAATTGTTTGAGTTTTGATTTTTAAAGAATTTCAAATTGAATTATGAAATAAGTTGTAAACTTTGAATTTGGGTCAAGACACACTAAAGGAAACAATTAGACATAATTGAACTTGATTTGTTTTAGGAATGATGATTGTGTCCTTAAAATTTTGTTTTGTGACAATGTTAGTTAAAGGATTAGATTAAAAGCTTTGTGGAAAGCACAGACTAGGATAACGAAAGGCTAGCTCAGGTTTGATATTCGAGATGTAGGATATTCTTGTCTACATCCTTGATAGCCATGATTTCAATGATTTTGGCATATGAAAATGTTTTAAAAACAAAACATGTTTAACGAAAAATGATTTTAAAAGAAATAGCATGAATAATGCTATTGAGTTTTCAATAATTTAGAAATTAGATTTTAAAGGGTTTTCTTTCTTAAAATGAAATATTTTAAGAAATGATAAAACGTATGGTGACCACAGAGATCGGAATATGGGAATCGTATCCTTAGGGGTAGGTCTCGAAACCCATACGGTCCATTTCTTGCTCAATGGTGTTATTATGCCTCTGCATATTTTCATTATACATATATTTTACTACTATTACGTGAGTATTTCATTTTTTTTTAAAAAAGATGATCGGTTTCGGGTGTATGTCTTCAGACTGTGAGTACTTTAATTATTAAATTTTTATAGAATTATATCCTACTGGACCTTCTGCTCATTTTTTTTTCTGTTTTCAATGTTTTAAACCCCCCTTCAGAGTTAGCAGTTTAGATTTACAGCATGGCGAGTGAATGCTAATGAATTGAAGACGCGAGATTCGAAGTGGTTAGTTTGTTTCAAATTTACAGTTTTTAATTCTGTGATGTACTGTATTTCTGTATATAAACTGTATTGGTCGACATTGTCTCAGAGTTGTACTATTTTCCTTAGATTTTATGGACTGTTTTTAATATTATTTGTAAAAAAAAGACTTCGGAGTAATATATTTTAATATCTATTTTGGTATTTGTATATTTTATTTTGTTTTCATGATTTTTTTCTAATTTAATCCAGTTTAATTAAGTTAATTTTCTTTAATTATTTCCCAATAATCACGGCTCTATCCTTGAAGTCGTGACATTTTAACATCTTTAATTTTATTTATTAATAAAATATAACATTCAGTAGAAATATATGCTGCGATTAAAACACATTTTGATACATCTATTTTTTATTTTATTTTTTTATAAATCTAACTTTTCTTAAATGCACTTCATCGATAATTAGACTATTTAGGTCACTTACCCTAATTAGTTTTCTATTTGTTTTTTTTTAAATATGTTTTATATTTAAAAAAAAATCCAACTATTGAAATAATTATTCTCAAATATGTCCTTAGTTAACATCCACATATACACTCTAAATAGTTTTCTCAAATATGCTCTTAGTTAATTTTTTTTTCTAATTTCTCAATGCAAATGTTTTTCACAAATATATCGCTGCACAAATATTTGAGTAATGAATCAAATTATGAAAAAAAGAGGGTTCTAGATGTATGACTAATTTTGTTGTTGTTTTTTTTTTTTTTTACATTGAAATAATTTTTTTCCCTAAAATACCTTTAATCAAATATTTTTCTACTTCTTATATGTACACTGTAACTACTTTTCTATATATGAAATTAATTTTTGTAGGATTTTACTCCGCGCGAAGCGCACTAACATATTAGTATTATAAAAAGATTCAAAGAAATAGATAAGTCTATCGTAGGTATGAAAAAGTATCCTCCTAATAAGCTTTACTTTAAATCGTCACGTTCAGTCAATTTTGTACTTTATTTATTTGTTTTGATGTAGTTTTAAATTTTAAATTTAAGTATCTAAAGTTCAGAAACATACCGATAGACATCCCTACCGAAAAAGAGCCTAAAGAAATTGATAATACATCATTGTACCCTTTAGATGTTTGTATAACAAATCACTCTCCCTTCCCATGATGTATTGTTCAGCGTGAAAATGCTAGAGAGCAGCCCCAAAAAACAAAAAAAATTTAAAAAAAAAAAAAAAAAAAAAAAAAAAAACTGTACTTCTATTTATAAGGACAAAATACTCTTATTTGGAACTGAGCAATATGGATGGATACACTCTCTTTTTATATTTGTATGAATGGAGACATAAAGTTAAGGACTTGGGATTTATTTTATTTTATTTTTTTCCCCTTGAGGACTCGTGTAAATTGTGACTCAACTAGATTTCTTTTATTATTATTATTATTATTATTATTATTATTATTATTATTATTATCCACAAAAAGCCCTTTCCTTACTTAAAGAGTCAATGAAGAATCCTATAACGAATGGCCCTTTCTTCAGTTTGGCCTTATCCTTCACAAACAAAACAACATGCCAAAAACCAGATAAGAATTGTAGCGTATCTAGCTACTGACTCGCTTACACCCTTGTATTGTTCACACATCACATGTGGATCCGTGGATTCCTCATAGTTATTGCTGTTCGAATCCAGCCAATTTTTTGGTAAAAGAATATGATCCAAGCACTTAACATATCGTGTCCTTAGGCATCGTAATGCAATCATATCCCATCTTAATTCGTATATATTTTTAGGCTTTGAATGTTTTGGTTTACACATTTATAACAAGAAAGCAAGTACATTAGGGTGCCCCAAGATACGTTTTCAAATACTTCTATACATCACAACCCGCATACGAAATATAGTTGTAAAATAGCTAACTTATCTTTTTCCAGGTCTCAAGTGTAAACTAGTTAGGTACAACCTCAGACTGGGCGTATTATTTCATTTCACTACTAAAAAGCAATTACCGACATGATGTCATATACAAAAACTGATAAATACGTATTTAGCTCTCAGATGTTGCTGATTTACACTTTTCTATATCCACCTTAAACTGTCTTCAATCTGAAACAGTAGAGTAGGACCATGTGAATTTCAGGCTCAATGCATCCCTCCTAATTTGTTACTCATTAGAGAGCGTTTCAGGCTCTGTCCATCATCTGCTACTCTTTATGGTACAATTCTTTACATGAATGTAGACAAATCAGGTATGTGTCGTCGAGTGAGATACACACATGAAGCTCTACTACCATGGTTCCGAGTTAGTACCAAGAAAGTTTCGAGCAAATGATGGCTTGCTCCAACCTTCCTCCATTGCAATGAGATTAAGGCGTACCTTCAATTTCTCTGCAGCGTTTTCCTCCAAACTGCTCAACGAATCCAGTGATGGTTTTTGCGGGTAAGAACTCTGCAGTGTTAGAATGAATTTTAGTCAAACTAGAATGTACAAAAGTAAAGGGATACCTCTGAGAGATGGAGAACTAACCTCCGATTCTAGATACAACTTTAAATATTCCATTGATTGCTCATAAAATCCACAGTGGTAGAGAAGAATGCTGTAATCTCTCAATTCCTTTGGATCAGTTTTTAAGAGGATAAGACGTTCACAAGCTGTACGAATGATGTTTAACAATTAAAAATAAGTACAAAGGGAAAAAGATGGGGAGAAAAGAAAAAGAAAGTAGTTATGTAACTTATGTTTTGACTCTTAAAACATCCCGCTTAAAACTCATTCTGGGGATAGAATAAAGAGGACTATAACTATAGACAGAGAAGTTAATAAATGAAGATGGATTTCTTTTTCTTGGTAATATAATTGAGGGCAAGCACAGAAGGTAGAAGTTAGTTGTTTTTATAACTTCATGAGTGGCTAAACAGCCATATAAAGCATGAATGCCAGGCAAAATGTTAGTGATTAGCCTAATTCATTAGTTACATCTCATGTTATAGTCCCTGAGGCCTTGGCTAAACAGTACGAGCAGTAAGAATCCATTGAACATAATAGTCATTCTTTAGAAAATATTAGGAGAAGATTAAGTTTATCTCAAACCAGCTAATGCGCGTCTCATATCCCCAAAGCGTACACTGGTCCAAATGCCACGTTCTAGTCTATGTTGAGCAGCCTTAGCAGATGCGAGCCGAAAACCACTGCAGAAGGCAAAGTGCATAAGTAACAAAATCAGAACACCTTTTGGAAAAAGACAAGATAGGGGAAAAACCATGTCAGGGCCTTAGTAGAAGAGATCAGTGATTCAGTAGTTGAACAATTTATAACCAAAATAAATAATAAAATTTATATACATTTATTTAATTGACTTACAAATCCTCATTAATGTTCGGTCCATCTATACAGTTAGCAGCACGTGCAGCCCGCAAGAACAAGCTTTCTGCATTGTCATGTTGAAATGGCCAGAAAGCATCCTTCAAATTTCTCAATATCTGCAGGCATGATCAACTATGAGAACCACGTCCAACCTGGATTTATGGCACACTAGCATGTATATAACAAAAAATATTTCACTCCATAAATTTTCACTTAGCACGTACTAGATATTTAAGGAAACTACTTTTTTTGAAAACAAAAATAAAACGAAACCACTATTAAAATATACTAGAAATGCGGCAGGAATTTCTAATATTAATGCAACTATATATCTAAGGCAAACTGACTTAACAAGTTAACATATAGTTGTGTAGATATTTCTCCTTCTGGACAATCTATGACGTCAAAAAAAAAAAAAAAGGAGAGGAGAAAAATCTATGACGCCAAAACACTCTGTTGTAGGTACCACTCGTGTCTTGAAACACCACCAATGAAAGTGAAGAAGAAATTGTTCTCCCTTGTAATGCAAGGTACAGAAACAAATACATGCCATTATTGTTTGATCCGAAAGATAGAAGTTTTTTAACAGAAGAAACTAATTGCATATAACAAGGACAAACAGCTCTCTTAAACCAAAAGGAGGACCTAAAGTACAAGCACTAGTGAAAAACTCTCCTATTAAAAAAAATAAAACTAAAACAGCTCTCTTAAACCAAAAGGAGGACCTAAAGTACAAGCACTAGTGAAGAAACTCTCCTATTAAAAAAAATAAAACTAAAAGAAGAAGAAGAAGAAGAAGAAGAAGAAGAATACTAAAGATACAAGCACTAGAGAAGAGACAACTACATCATCCACAAAATTAACCACCGACATATGCAATATTGGGTAATTTATCAAAGAGTTAGACCAGCATATGTGATTCAAGTGATATAGTTCATGTAAATAAGTGAAAGAGGAAGAAAAAATAGTCACCTCCACCAGTAGAGCTTGTGATGTCATTATGTGTGCCTGATCAGAGTCCTTACTTTTATGTTTATGGTAACCTCTGGGAAGGGTATCAAGATTGCGAGGAACAAATATCTCCGCATCGAAATCCAAAAGGCCCCACAAACGAAGCATTTTTAGAATCTCAGAGTATATAAGTGAAAGCATTGCTGTGGATCCTGAACGGTGAGTCAAAACCTGTTTAAAGAGTAAGATAAGATAAACTATTGAAACCAACGACCAGGTTTGAAAATAAAGCATGAATAAATCAAGAAGACACCCTGTGAAACATGCTCCTGAACGGTGAGTCAAAACCTGTTTAAAGAGTAAGATAAGATAAACTACTGAAACCAACGACCAGGTTTGAAAATAAAGCATGAATAAATCAAGAAGACACCCTGTGAAACATGTGGGCCAAAGATCCATTACCGAGTGAAGATAAAGAGCTCGCGACTCTAATTGATGCTTCACACTGCTTCTTCGGAAGCCCTGAAACAAGAAACAATTCCACACCAAGGCAAAGACAATTAAGACAAAAGGGCAACAGTTGAGACTCAAATTTTTCACGCAGAATTCTTTACCAGGTAAAACCTCTAAGCAAGTTTCCATGGCATTATTCAATAATGAGACAATATAAGTTATCACAATGACGAGAAACGAAACTACACAAATATCAAAATATGAACTTGTTCACCCAGTCAAGTACCACATGACATATTGAGTCTAAACCACTATATTTCATTTTCTGACATAACCACTATATTTCATTTTCTGACATAATTTGCAGTTTACTTGTGAATAAACTCAACAATAAATCAATAGTACCTTCTTATCATATAAATAGCTTTCTAAACTGTTGAAGAAATTCTCAGGTGACCACCAAAACGAGGAGCTGTAATGAGAGCAATAACACATTGAAAGATCATCCAATCTATCAATGAAAGCATCAACAGGGAGAGGAACGGACGAATGAGACACGAGGGAATCATCCTCTGCTGCTATGTAAAGAGCTGTTTTCCCCAAATCAACATATCTATTGATGCTAATGCTGGTTTCTCTCTCTATGTCAGAAAGTTTCTGAATCTGCGAGCAGAATCCTTCCCTAGCTTCCTGTTCAATTATCACAAATGCATCCCATTTTCACAAAATAATCAATCTCATTTCATACTCAGAGACGCTCAAAAGAGGCACAAGAACACCAGACAGCGAAAAAACCGCTGGTGCTTTAAAACAAACAGTATAAAGCAGAAAGGGAAAACATTACGTAGGCATTAAATTCATCAATGGATTAAAATAAAAGAAGAATAAACACCCAAAATTTCACAAGTGGGAACTAAACACGAGCAGTAATACACACCATGTAAAATTTTATCACGAACATCATGAATGTGCACGTGTTACTCTTCAAGATGTATATTATTTCGGAAGGATGTAGTAAATAGTAGATTTACAAAACTAAATTAAGTATATAGTAAATTTTAAAACTATTTGAAACAAATAGCATTACCGTGTAAATATTTCATTTACGACTAGTAAAAAGATATTTTTTCACATAAATTTTCTTTTTACAATTGATAAAAAGAATTTTCTTTTCATGTAAATAAAGATGTTTTACCATTTTTTATGTCAGAAATGAAACATTTACACAGTAAATTACTATATTTAAAGCGTTTACTTCAAATAGTTTTAAGTTATCTTATTTATTTAACTTAGTTTCTATTTACTACAATTTCCGTATTATTTTCATCTAAATATAATAGTAGATAGAAATGCAGTTGAACATCAGAAACTGAAAGAAATGATTCTAAGATTATAAGCGTAAAAAAAAAGGTTCAATCACCATGAATGCATCAAATTTTCAACAAAACAAATCAAACCCACATACGAAATCAATCCATTTCAACCAAATGCAAAGAATTCACGGAAAGCGAAAAACAGGCATTTAAATTCATTACTAATTCTGGTAAGAAATTGATTTTATAGCCATTTTTATAAAAATGAAACTAGATAATTCAACAGACCCTGGCATGAGAAGTTTGGATTCCAGAAGAATCGAGAGCATCGTGGAGAGAAAACTTGAGGTGGCTGGAAATGAAGGAGGCAGAGAAGGATCCGCTGCGGCAGAGCACATGGAAACCCAAACAAGACGGACGATTAGACGGTTGATTCCTTGAGGCGAAAAAAGAAGAGGCCGTGATCAGAGACGTTGAAGTAGGAGAAGAAACAGCTACCCAAGTCATGATGTCTGAAAAAGTCAAAGAGTAAAATCAGAACCACTACATTTTTTTACCAATGACGAAAGCCCGACAGAGCCATATTCATGTCGTTTGGATTTAATCGCGTGATAGAATTAGAAAGTGAAATATTAGGATTCATTTCATGGTACGGATTATGTAAAAAACCACTGACCTTAAACAGTTCCAAGGGAATTGGAATTCTTTTGTCGGGCGATGTCGGAAAGGAAAGATGACGAGATTTGAAGAAGCAGTCAACTTGAGGACGATGAACAGGCTAGTGGGAGGTGGAAGATGTGTTGGAACGCCAAGAGAAATCCCCACGAGGACTTTTCCAGCGAGAAATCTGGTCCGTACGATGAGAAAAATGATCTATGGGCATTGATAGTTACGTAAAGATGATATTTTGTTCGGCTTTTAAATTTTTTTTATTTTTATTAACAGATATTTTGCGTTTTTCATTTTTTGGCTAAATGTGAATTTCATTCAACAAAAGACAACAACCTAGAAAAGCAAACAAAGTAGCAGCGAAGGGTATTAATTAAGGCTTCATTTAGGCCCCGTTCACTTCTCGGATTTGAATTTTCAATTCGAGTTAAGATATGACATTTTTTAAGAGTTTTTTATTGTATCAGAAAAAGTTAGATATAACATTTTCTTAGAACTTTTTACTGTAGAAACCTAAAACTGAAAATTCGAATCGGTGAAATGAACGAGACCTTAATTTGCTAATTAAAATTTTTAATCTGAGTTGGGATATAAATTTTTTTAGAGTTTTTTTTATTGTAGAAGAAAAAGTTAAAAGTAACTTTTTATGAGAGTTTTTAATTGTAATAAAATTAAAATTAAAAACTCAAATCGATAAAATAAATGAGACTTAAAATATGAAGCCAATGCGGCCAAAACAAATTTATAAAGAATAGTAATTGATAAGTCACTGGCGAGATTAAACTCAAAAGACCACCCATAGTGTGGCGTACCAGTAAAAGACGATCTATTAAGAAATTTGTTTATATTATGTTGAGATCAATTATCATCGTTCATTGTAAGGCTGTAATTAGGCCTCTCATTAACCTGTCAAATATGGCTTGGATCAATGTGAATCTGGATTTTCTGAATCTAGTTAGCGAAAGTTTGAGCCAAGTTTATTTTTTCTATTTATGATCTTAGTAGATTGTCAAGTGATTGTTGGATATGGGAGCTTGAGGACACTATTAATCTCTTTTTTCCTAAAAAAATAAAGATTCACGAAGGCTAATTCGAAGATTAAATGTTGTGATTGTTGTCAATAGAGTGCTGAGTACTTAAAAGGAAACCAAACAATGAAAAAGATGGAAAAAAAAAAAAAAAAAACAGAGGAGGTAATATGGTTGCAATGTTAGTTGAAGATGATGTCTTGTTTTTATTTGCGATGGTTGCAGTATTAATCTAAACGTAAGTCTTGTTAAGTTCTCCGATTCGAATTTTAATTATAATTTGTTACAGTAAAAAATTATCACAAAAAATCACATCTAATTTTTTCTACTACAGTAAAAAAACTCTAAGAAGGAGTCATATCTCAGCTCGAATTAAAAACTCGAATCGGAGAACAAAATGAGACCGTAAAAATTTACATTGCGTTTGCAAACTTCGGTGCTTCGTATCATGTCACTTTATATCATGATATTTTCTCCTCTTACATTAATGGCCTGAAGATGGAGAATTATGTAGAGTGCAAGATAAGTTGACAATTTGGTTCATGATAACGCGACTCGAAAATTTTTTAGAATTAATGGATTTAAATTTACTATAAGAATATTTATATTTACAACCATAAATTTTATAAATACTCCAGTAATTAATACCCTTGAATAAATATGGAAAAAATCTATTTTTTTATAGATACTATTTCTATAATACCTATTTGCTTTCTCATACACCTACTGTAATTATTGATTTGATTTTAATGCTATATTTTCTTTTTAAAATTATTATACTATCATTCTCTCTTTTAATTATTATGTGTGTTTAGATCCGTTTTTGAAAATGAATTTTAGCAAAAAATAAAAATTTTTAGTAGAAAACGATTTCGAGAAATAAAAAGTAAAAATGAAAACAAAATGACGTTTGTTTAATAAATATTTTAAAAACGAAAACGAAAACAATGAATATAATTTTTATGAAAAAATTAAAAAACAGTTAAATTTTTTTTTTCACTTTTCTATTTTTATTTTTTAATACTTATTAATAATTTATCATATATTAATTAATAAACATAATTTTACTTTTTTATTATATTCAAAACCTCTTAAAAAATTAACCAAATGTAATTTTAAAATCAGTCTCATTCTTAAAACAATCTCATTTTTATTTTTTATTAAAAATAAAATTATTTTAAAATCAATTCTAATCGGACTAAAAATTCCAAAAAAAAATAGTCAGTACACCCAAATAGTTGCCTCCCGTCAGGCTACAAACACCTCCATGCTGCCGCCCAGGAGCCACCGGCGACAACTACGCATCGAAGTCCTCTGCCGGCACCGCCTGCACCATTCGGACTTGCCAACCTCCGATTTACAAAATCCCGCCACTCATGCGTTGAAAACCCACTAGAAATGTGTCAATCACCGCCTAAAGAGCCACATCCTCTTCCTCGTTGCCGTGCATTATTCGTCACCACAGGTAGTGCTGGAACTTCAGGTCGGCGGGCCGCCCGAAGCCCGAATTTTTTCAGGCTCGGGCGGGCCGGCCCAATTCCTGCCCGCCCAAGCAAGAAATTCGGGTTCGGGCTCGGGCAGCCCGAATTTGACATGTCCACCCTTGCCCCCCGCCGTCTAACCACCGTATACCGCCGTCTGCCGGGATGTTTTTGAATTTTTCTGACCAAGCCCAAACTGCCCGACCCGAAGCCCGAATTTTTGAATTTTGGCCGAATTTTTCCCACCTGCCTGAATTGCCCGACCCGCCCGAGGTGCTCGAATTGCCCGAATACCCGAAAACGACTAGTTTTTTGAATTTTGCCCGAAAATCTGAGTTGCCTGAGTTGCCCGAATTGCCCGAAAACCCGAAAATGGCTATTTTTTGAATTTTTACCCGAATTCTGCCTGAAAACCCGAGTTCGTGTGTTCATTTCAAATTGTAATACATATATAAATATAATATATATATATATATAAATTGTAATACTAATATATATATGCCGCCGAATACAAGCCCGCGGCCCGTTCAAGGTGAAATTCGGGCTCGGGCGGCGGCCCAAAAATCTCGGGCGGGTCGGGTTCGGGCTCGGGCAAATCCTCGGGCTTTTTGAGCGGTCGCGGACGGCCCGTCCAAAGTTCCAGCACTAACCACAGGTGTACATATTTTCAGAGGACCCCAATAATCAGAACCCAGAAGCTCTGCCGCCTTCCCTTGCTGGAATCGCCCCTCTACAGATGTCGCACTTCCGGCGCCTTCTTCATTTCTGATAATTCTCGCCTCACATCACCATCTTCGTTTTTGTTTCCACCCCTAGTACTTTTACTTTTAATTTTTTTAATTGATTAGGTCTTAACCGGCTACCAGTAAAAGGATGAAGCAAATACCCCTAGATGCCCTCACTAATTGCCAACTGTTTGATCTAATTTAAAGGATATACAACGTCAAATTATAGAAACTAACGGTTGATGCACACTGGCTAGAATTGGTTGAATTATAACTTCGTGGTAGTGTAGGGGCCCATTAAAATTTCAATAGAAACTGATTTCTTTATTAAAAACTCTTCAAACAAAACAAAAAGAATAACAAACAAAATTTGAAAGAATCTTTATCAGATTGTTTTTTTAGGTCTTGCTAAATCGTAAAAAAAAGAAAAAAAAAGGAATTTCTTTGATTTTTCTCTTTTTTAAGAATATTTGTATATCAACCGTTAAATTTATATTATTTTTTCCATTAATAAATAAATAACACTGAGGGGGCGTTTGGTATGGGGTAATCATAAGGAATCATATTCTCAGGAAAGTGATGGAGGGTAATATGATTCCTAGGAATAATACATTATTGTGTTTGGTTCCATACAGAAATCTTTCTCAAATTCCTAGGAATATTACATTACTGTGTTTGGTTGTGCATGAGAATGTTGTGAATTAAAAAATATTTTTTTAAATGAATAATAATAATAATAATAATAAAATTATTATTATTATTATCATTATAATTATTATAATAATTATTATAATAATTATACTTATAA